ACGTTTCCAGCTTCATGTCTGTTGCGTCGCAGCTGGCGGAGTACGTTGATGTCGCGCCCTAGCCAGTGGGAAGCTCGCAGGGAGGGTGTTCGATGAAATGAACACAGATTACTGCAAGCATAGCCTATATGCTACATAACTCTCAGTGCAATGCAAGTCTTGTACAAGTAATTAACCAATCAGACCCTTATTGCTGAGCCAACACAGGGAGCCAGGGCATTGTGTACCAATATACAACGAGGTTGCTCAGCGCCTCTGTACCTCCTGCATTTGCCAGCTACAATGTAGTTTGTTGGCTCGTGTTTGATGCCTTGCATCTAGGTTAGGCTGGCTTGGCCGGTGGTGTGTTGAACCTGCCGTTTGGTTCCTTGAATGGCCGCCAGAGCTTGGCCATTCGGATGCAAAATAAAGTTTCATTAGAATGGTTCCTTTCATTTTTATAGCTGATGACGTAAGTTCATATAGAGTTTTCTAGCCAAGGACCAGGGCTGCAGCATGGGAAGCCCTGCCCCTGGGTCCGCCACTGCCTGCCGCCTAAAAGCACTTGCACAAGAGCAATATACACAAGAAGTCTTGACTCTTAATTGAAGTCCAGAAACAACATAATATCATACAAGTCTTAATATTTTAAATGAAATAAAGACAACATAGTGCATAAATCCTTTATTCTTTAGTTTTGACTCAATCAGACAATCACCGCAGCAAATCAACATTTTTCATGACACCCACGTATCATTCACAGCTCACTTGAGCCTTGAGAGTACTAGTAGCAAGACTACTAGTAGACGATAGTCACTTGGCAGAGAAACCTTCGCTACCTATGAAGATGAAGTCTGCCGGACACTATTAATTTTGAAACTCTGAATCCACAATGCAAAAATGTGTAACTGGGCACCGCTAATGGCAGAGCAACGCCAAACTTCTGCCTGGCAGAGCACCGCGCAGGGCCGCAGGGTCTGGATCACGGCAGTGGGCAAGCACACAGCAGGCGCCAGCGGTGGATCTCGCTTTCTTGAGCTCGAGGCCGACGGCGAGCAGGGGCTAGGAGTCTTGAGCGATGGGCAACGGCGATGATGAGGGTTACAGGTGTGGAACGAGCGATAGAGTGCGGCGCCTGGTGTCTGGGCCCTGGGGGCAGCGCTAATAGGTTAGCTAGGGCGACAGTGCTGGGCTAGTTGGGTTACCTGTTGGGCCTTGGACGACGGGGTACATTGTTTGTTGGGCTAACCCGGAAATAGGAAAAACGGGTAACATATAGGACATTTCCGCATCATGTAAATAGTGGGATGGAGCCCCTTCCGTTTCCGTCCGGGTCCTGGCTACCCATATCCCGTCCTGTCTCATCTTTGGATTTTTTTTCTCAACATGGAAACAAACAGGTGAAATATAGAAAGCGGTGCAGGTCGGGACATGATTTAACACATCCGTTTTCAACTCTAGTAGTAGACTAAACGAGCCGGCAACCAAAAACAATTGTTATGTTCATCCTGCATGTATTCATTCAGTCAACCACACATTAAGGTACTACATGCAGTAAGTCTGCCCAGCTTGGTTTCATGGTTTGGTTTGTAGGAGCTAGGGGCCTTGATAGGGGTTACAACAGGTGTGGAGCGAGCGACAGAGTGCGGCGCCTAGCGTCATGGGGCAGCGCTAATAGGTTAGGGCGGGCGACAGCGCTGGGCTAGTTGGGCTGCCTATTGGGCCTTGGACGATGGGGGTACATTGTTTCTTGGGCTAACCCGGATATTAGAAAAACGGGTACATTTCTGCATCATGTAAATCCGAGATTTTTGCAATTCCGCCATTATTTGGAAACTAGATTCGCTAGAGTGCCATCCCTCAAACTGGATTCGCTACTTGCCATTATGAAATGGATGTAAGCCACTAGAATGGATTTTGGGGAGTTTGCAAGTCATTTTATTCCTGGGGAAAAAAGCTAACCCCAGTTTCCACTTGTGCCCCTCCGCCTCTTGTTTTCTTCCATTGATAGGTTCGACCAGAGGAACGGAACGCTCTTGAAAACGGATCGGCCTAGGGTCTTCTTTCTCATACTGCCATTCCCTCCTCCCTCCCAACACATCCGAGAGTAGCCTCATCCCCAGCGCCGGCAGCCTTGCCTTCCACGCCTCACCCTTCCCCGCGCTGGCCGGTGGCACCGCCCCCATGCATCGCCCTCTCCCGCGCCGGCGAGGCACCAGTCCTCACCCAGGCATCATGGTACACGTCGTCGCCCAAGCACCTCCCCCGGCCACCGAGGTGCCCGCCGCACCGTCACACGCCATCTATGGCATCGCTGTGGGAGGTCCGCTGTTGGTGCAAGTCGTCAATGGAAGGAAGCAGTAGTTCGATGGCGGCCATCTAGAGAACTGGTAATGAAATCCTTCTCCCTCCTATTCTTTGTTACAAATGCAAATGTCGGCTTGGGCCGCAGTGGTGTGGGGCTGTGGGGCGGCGCCGGCCTAGGGTGGCCCGGGCATCGGCAGAGTTCCTGAGTAGCTGTGCACCTGGCCAGTGCACAATCTTCCCTTCTGACATGCTAGTGAGAGCTAGGGCGAGTTGGGCGCTCATTAGTTGGATCTCTTCTTGTTCCTCCTCCGTGATCAGAGTGGATAGCATAAGTCTTTAGACCACCATATGGTAGACACGGAGGCGGTGTTCCTGAGCCCGAGAGGGACTCGAGCTAGGCTTGGACATTGGTTGAACCATGGCTTAGAAGCCAGCTCGGAAAACTTGGTCGTGTCTGAGTAGGACTCGAATTGCTTGAGGTGTTTCCACGTCCAAGTAGGACTACAAATCGAAAATTCACCTAATTCCTCAATAAGATCAAGCACGTCTTGTCGAGGAGCCAGAGGAGCTTGATCCACGGAAGTCTCCACGAGGCAACTTGGGAGCATGCCAGGATCAGCTGCCATGAAGGTCCAGGAACCGAAGGTGAATGTTGATCCCGCCGAGAACGTGTTGTTGATCTTAAGGTAGATCAAGCTTTCGATCATCTTTTTGTCGAAAGCCCATGCCTGGCGTGCCAATTGTCAGTGTCTGATGAACGACAACCTTGTTACGGGGTTACTCGGAACAAGGATTGGTGGGCTTCGGCGTAAGCTAAACTCAATGGTGAATGCGAGACTATGATTTATACTAGTTCAGGCCGCTAAATAGCGTAATGTTGTCAAATTGGGAATTATATCATGTGTTTTACCATGTCCCATGTCACCCTTGTCAAATTGGGAATTAATCCCTATGATTATGGTGGATGTCATTTATATTGCCATTTAAGCATACTTGATGGTATGAAAAAAGGACTTCTCGTGACCATCAACAACACATTTAAGTATCGCACTATCTTTAAAATAATTGTATGAAGAATATACTCAAAGCATAGATGAATGTAATTACTCAACTCAAAAGCATTTTATTTGCTAGGCAAAATATAAGAAATAATATGCAAATATCGAACACATTATAGATTAATTTAGCTTCTTCCTCAAATGTATCAACCTATAGCCATTCGAATACAAGATGTGTGGAATAATGTAGATGTCTATCATGATTCTAACTCACTTTTCACATTAACATTATTTATGTAGTACAATGCACCAGATAGACTTGTATGCATACATGTAAAATATCATGGGGTTAAATGCACATTGTAATCACCTAGAAGGATAGAATGGCATCTTAAGAAATGAGAAAAACTCATATATATATATAAGAGAGAGAGAGAGAGAGAGAGAGAGAGAAAGAGGCTTGTACCTAAAGTCAAAGTTGACTTCCAGTCTTAAGCTTGTAGTATATATTTGGACATCAGATAGAAACAAAACTAATAAATGTCAATCACAAGGAAAGATATGCATATAGCATTTGATCAATTCACATTGGTTTATGTATTAGAAACACATTAGTAAGGCATTTGGTTAGACATAAAGTAATGTAATTAAAGATTGCAGACACAACGCTTTATAACCACTAAAAATGGAGTCAATTGCTAGTAGCAAATTGAGACATTAGTGTCTTTCCAACCTGTGTGCTCAAGAATAATGGTATGGCCTATGCACATCCTAGGTGTTGCATTCATTTTATTAAACATGAGAGAAAAATGTGTGATGCGCAAACATTGTCTGGTAGATATAGATATATAGATGGAGATAGAGGGAGAGGGAGAGAGAAAGAGACTTGTACCTAAAGTCAAAAGTTGACTTCCAGTCTCAAGCTTTGAGTATATTTGGACATCAGATAGAAATAAAACTAATAAATGTCGATCACAAGGAAAGATATGCATAGATTTGATCAATTCACATTTGTTATTTATTAGAAACACATTAGGCATTTGGTTAGACATAAAGTAATGTGATTAAAAATTGCACACAATGCTTTATAACCACTAAAGATGGAGTCAATTGATAGTAGCAAATTGAGACATTAGTGTCCTTCCAACCTGTGTGCTCAAAAATAGTGGTATGGCCTATGCACATCCTAGGTGTTGCATTCATTTTATCAAACATGAGAGAAAATTTTGTGATGTGCAAACATTGTCTGCTTATGAACAAGAGTTACTCTTTGAAGCATGGCCTCGAGATGAAGACGTTTTTTTCAAAAAATAAGCAGCTAACCAACCAGCCTAAATTGCACACTCAATATTGATTTGCGCCGAAAGACCTTTTATTGTCAAATCAGATTTCTTTAGTGAAACTAGTCATTATGTTACTATGAGTTAGTTTTACGTGTCATGTGTCCTTTGTCATTCATCTGAGCAATTGAAGTATGTCAACTATAAAATTAGTGTATCACCGAGAAATGGATACAGATGCTAAATATCATTAGTATTATGATTAAAAAAACTTGTTTGACTATATATAAAACTTTATTGTACAATAAATTGAAACCAATACTAAAAGATTCACCATAAGGCCTATAAATACTTGGCCTTGTGCTTGCCATTTTCTCCATCCAAGCATCGTGTTTCATACATTAACTTGTTGTGTACTACTCAACCCTCACTACCCATGGATCCCAACTTCAATGGTGTGTGGAGTGCTTCTGAAATAGATATGGTGAAGTTATTCATTGCTAGTCACAACACCTACAACACCTACACAAATGACACAAACAACAAGCACAATGACATTGTTGATGAGCTCCAAGCAAGGTTCCTAGGCAAAGAGAAGCATCACGTAGTTCAATTATATGTTCATCTAGTAGTAGAGATGAATACAATGCAGAGCAACAACCAACAAGTTGTGGTGACCAATGCACTGGTGAATGATAACTTTGGGATGCCGACGGAGGATACAAACATGGACAACATGGACATGTTTCATGGCTATATATTGGATGATGTGGAGGCCATGAAGATGGTAGAGGAACCACCGCACAGGCTGAATGTTGTTCCTAAGAAAAAGAGGCAAAACCTAGTGATAGCTTGGAGTCATGACGAGGACAAGTAATTCATTTCTGCTCTATTTTTTTGAAATGTTTTGTTACATATTTAATGTTAATTTTTTGTACAAGTAATACGCTAGTGGTGTATAGTATTTCATACCATGAGGCATTGAGATTTTGTTTTCACCAATATTGAGTGTACGAACATGACATATGTTATCATCTGACTTGTTAATTCTAAACCATATATATGCAGGAATTTCCTCCGTGGCTTAGAAGTGTATGGCCGTGGTAGCTGGAAGAACATATCTAGGTACTTTGTCCCCACAAGGACGCCAATCCAGATCTGCAGCCATGCAGAAGTATTTCCATAGGAAGGAGTGTACCACTAGAAAACAACGCTTCAGCATCAATGATGTCGGCCTCTATGACACAGAGCCATGGGTGCAAAAGAATTCTTCTCATTCGGAGGCTCTCGACTTCAGCCACAATGCTTACAACACAAATTATTATGACTTTGAGGGACAACACACTGTCTTGAACAAACTCGCACATGCTAGCCATGTGAGCAGTAGACAAGTTGCCACCTGGACTAGAGGTCAGCATATGATAGGAAGTTCATCCATAGATCCAACGATGGTGCAGAGTAACTCTCTTGGATGGGAGGCGCTCATCTTCACTAGCGATGCTAATAACACAAACTACTATGAGTTTGACGGACAATATGATGCCATGAACAACCTCGCTTGTGCTAACCAGGCGAACAATAACCAAGTAGCCTCTTGGACTAGAGGTCAACAAACAACAACTAGTCCTTCTGTAGCTCCAATGACGGTGCAGAATACTTCACCTAGTTGGGAGGTGCTTTCCTTCGCCGACAGTGCTTACAACACAAACTACTATGACTTTGATGGACAACAAGTTGCCTTGAACAACATCACCAGAGGGCAACCATGGTGAGCAACAACCAAGTAGTTACCTAGACAAGAGATCAGTTGACAACAACCAGTTCTTCTGTAGTTTTAGTGATGGAGTTATCTATGATTTAGTATCGAAAGGTGGATGTAAAACCAGCTGGTTGAAGACAATATATGGTGTTAAGTGCTAGTACTATTTCTGTATGGGCTACAAACAATTTCACTACTAGAAAATTGCAATGAAATACTATCATATGTTCTTGCCATATCTTTGTTTGTTTGTTTGTATGCGTTAACTATATTTTGGATGTCTTCGTGTTCTTTATTCTGTATATCAGCTATATCTACAATAATAAGTTTGATTTCTTTGTTAGAGATAAGGTTTGTTGTATTTTTTCGTAAAAGTTTGATCGCTTCATCAGATATAAGGTTTTCAAATAAATCTTCTATAACTAAATAGGAGATCCCTATTAGCTTATTTTCCTGACTTCTCCTTAAGCCACGCTATCCTTTTTCGTTGCATCCGGCGTCCAACCAAGGCACATAAATTATTGTGCATGCACCATCCCTTTCTCTACCACAACACACGATCAATTCCTCTACCGCAACAAATGCACCTAAAAGTAACGCATCTGGAAGAAAACGAACGGGTTGCTGCAGTCGACTTTAAATAAGGGGAAAATTGGTTTCATAGCATTCAAAAATCATGACATTCGAAAAATACCATCAAAAGACGTCCGTCACGTAAAATACCACCAAAAGAATGAACTGTTACCTTCAAATAGCATTCTGTCACAGTGGCTGCTGTTGCCGTGAATTCCTCCGTCGAGACACCTTTCTTCCTCAACCTAGCTACCTGGGTGGGCATGGACACGCTGATAGGCAGCGACACATGCCCTACGCCATGTGGCTACCTCGCATGGCCTAGCCGCGCCGGGTCCATACGGCGGCGGCCGTAGCTGCCTCACGCCCTCACCTCCATGGACACTCCTAGGAGACCAGTGCCCTGTGTGCGACTGTGCGTACGTGCATGGATCATCTATCAATGAGCTCACGGTGCATGCAAGAGCAATCGAGTTTGCGTGCATGCATATAGGAACTCGCGATGGCTGGGACCTGGGACGACGGCTGCCCGTGCCTGGTCCACTCGCCTGTGCGTGTGCTTGGACGTCAAGCTCAGAGACACCGATCTGCTCTCAGCTCTCACCACCACCGTTCTCCACCGTTGGCACCACCGTACAACTGCCGAGCCGTGTGCCCCACCATCTCCACCAACATGTTCTCACCCCTCCGCACGATAGCAAACAACTCCGGGCCAGAGCCACGCCATGTCTCCAAAACTACTGTTGTCCGCCGCCATGGTGGGCTCTTGATCCGCGTTGTCGCTGTTCCCATGGGTGCAGACCACCAGCGCCTCGGCCGAGCGTACCACCACGTCCGTCCGGACTTCTTCCGACCGTGGCTCACCTGAACTGGGCAAATCCGCTCTGGGACGCTGGATCTTGCTGCCGCCAGGTGCATTGTTCCTGCTGCTAGCCATGGCCGCCGCGCGGGGAACTCCCGCGGATAGCTCCAATCGGAGGTGCCTCCACCAAGCCAGCTACACTGCCGTGTCCACCACCACCGTGTGCACCTCCTTTGGCCGAAACTCCGCCGGCAGCACTGCTTCACGGGCTGCCTCCATCCTGCTCAACGCCGGCCAGACGCTTGTTTTTTCCGCATGGTGAGCCGCCCCATCGCTCTTACTCAACCCCACACAAGCCATGCCCAGAATAGCCCCTTTAGCACCCCCACGCACCTGACGTGTACCTGCGCCGACCTTGTAGTCGCCGGGTTCACCATTGCTACATGCTGCCGTCGTCTCCCGTGTTGCATGCCACGCGGACATGGGGCCATGCTCCTATGAGCCATATTAGGCCACGCCACTGACATCGATAGGTGTGGCCGACCACGCGAAGGCCGCCGGCTGGTCAGTCACGGCCGCTGTGCCCTCTCCAGGGCGAATCGGGCTATGCCGGTACACCGTCATGTGTGCTCTGTTTTTCTGAAATGGGGGAACAAATGTGCCTCAACGGAGGAATTCACGGCAAAAGCGGCCACCATGACGGAATGCTATTTGAAGGTAACAATCCATTCTTTCGGTGGTATTTTACGTAACACATGTCTTTTGATGGTATTTTCTGAATGTCGTGATCTTTCGATGCTATGAAACCAATTTTCCCTTAAATAAGTCTACTCCGCCTCAGCCATGCCCTGCTCGCCAGTGTCGCACGGCTTTGCTCCGCCTCCGCCAGGCTTCTCCCACCCATCCTGCACCGACACTGACGTGGGTCCTTGCCGTCCGATCCTCGGATGCCCCAAGATCGATGACCACGATGCAGTGTGCCCGCCCCATGGCCGTGCGTCGAGCCGACAGCTGCTGCCCGATGACCCAAGGTGGCACTGTAGGTAACTTCCTCTCACCTGCTATCAGAGAGTCAGTCGAGCGGCGAGCAGGCGTAGGATGGGCCGTAGCCGGGGCGTCAACTACGAGGGCCGGCAGAGCTCGCTTAGGTACGTTTTCGGAGGCAACTAGGCCACTGCGGCGCCCGCCAAGCCGGCCATGGCAGAGCAGAGGCCCATATGAAGGAGCTCCACTGTGGACGCAGCCTACACAGGGTCATCTCTATAGTTTTAGAGGCCCTTGGACCCAAGCACGATCGTAAGGGCACGACTAAACTACTTTAGTTCATAAAATATAACGATTAAAAGAACAATGAAATAACTATTATGATTCTTTCAAATAAAACAATAATACTTCAGTGCTTTGTAAAAAACAACCTTCAGGTATTTCTTGATGAAAAAAATCTTTAAGAACAATATCAAATAGGAAAAGACGCTGACCTCCAAGGCTCTCATGGATTGTCGTGCTAAATATATAGACCTTCAATACTTTATTATAATGGCTATATATATCTACTACATATATATACTCATGGCCCCCTAGCGGCTTGGGGCCCGGTGGTCGCACCTCCTGCCGTCCCCCAAGAGACGGCCCTCAGCCTACCCTGGTTGTGGTCGGCCTCCCTGTGGCGAGTGTGGCCGGTGTACGATGAAGCACGAAGGTTATTTATATGATGACCTATGTTTGTGTTTAATATGCTTGTAATTGCAAACATTCATTAGAAATGCAAAGAAGATAGGTGTGTACGTGTCCATATTGCAACTACAGTCTATAGGTTCTTTTGGTGTTTATTTGAATGCAGATTGAATGAGAGAGAAATGATAAAACTGAGATTTTGCTGGTCACTTAAACCTTTACATCTGAATATACAAACTTCAACAGGTATATTACAGAGTTATTATACCCGTAACTTTATCCTATGGCTTATCTTAATGTATGGAAAAAAATATTCCATGCTCTACTACTCTTATACATACATAAAGCGTGTATTGCACTGCAGGACAATCATAAGTAAATCTATATCTCTTATAAAGAAAAATCCCACTAGAGGATTTATCTGATTCCACAGCGATCCCGTCATCAACTTATCTAAGCCGTCTGATTCGTACTATCAGTCAAATGCAACCGTCCATCTTACTATTCGTTCAAGTCCACCCTAGGGCTCACAAAGCCAAACCTGCCACCTGACCCCACTTCTCAGAAGCCCACGTCATTAAATTAAAATAAAAAAGATAGAAACAACACGCCGCTGAGCACCTCCACCCGCTTCCTTTTCCAGAAACGCATCCACCAAGAAAAGAAAATGACGTTGCATGCTGCTGCCTGCTGCACACCGTCACCCTCCTCCCCTTCTCGCTTCTAGGCTGCCTGCTTGCCTGCTGCATGTCGTCGCACTCCTCCCACCCCTGCTCGGCGCCACACACGCAACAAGTTTAACTATTACTCATTAGGCACTAAAATATATGAATATGCTTGACATGGTATATATCTGCACAGGCATAACTTAATATTTAAATTTATATGTCTCATATTACTAGTAAATAAACAACATTTATACTTAAGTATGTACGCGTTGTATTTAAGAAACTAGAGATATCATAGTGCAATGTCTTTGAAAACATGATGGATAACTCAAGGCAAGGTATAATGGTAGATTTTTCAATTCTGAACAGTCTCGAGGATATTAGAGGATGAGATATGATCGGGTTATTAGGCTAGATAGCGTTAGGATGAGATATTACGCGTTGTTATTTACTTGACGTTTCTTTAGTTCCACTTTGCTCAAATGATTGCATTGCATTGTATGCATATGAATGACTGGGGTCTAAAATTCAGAAATTATAATAAATCATTGTAAAATGTTTTAAAAAAAGGCTAACTCAGATTTAATTGGGGACTATCCACCCCTGATAGGGAGGATAGTCTTTGACTTAGCCAATTATAAAAAAAAGAGCTTTATACCATGATGAAAGGGTGTCTCGCAGACAGTTCGGCGGTCACTTGCCAGTCTTGTCCTGCAACAACTGTTGGTTCTGGTGTGTGCTGTGAAAGTATCCACAAACGATCTAGCCAGGGGCGCAGACGGTCCACAGGTATCTATATCCCATAAAGCAAAACCAAAAGTCTGGTTCTGTTAATTAGTGCTAACAATTGAGCCACAAATGGCAATCCCAAGGGAAATCAGTCGACGAGTATGAGTTGTGATCTGTGCAAAATTGGGATAGATTCTGGATAGCGCCAAAGTTTGAACAACAGACTATCCACATCCCAGGGGTGGATGGTCCGCGTGGTGCATTGTCTAGAAGTTCCAGTTTCTATAGAATGTTAGAGTTGCTGAGGTGGCAACAATTTCTTGTACTACGGATGGTTCGAGCTCTGTACCACGAATGGTCCAATAGTCAGTTAACTATCAACTCTAATAGACATTTAACATGAATATAGTTGTTGGTTTGAACGGCGGGCCAACTGGGTTTTGTATTGCGGATGGCCCGTGAAATCATTGTTTTCACAAGAAAGGCTCTGCAAAGGCTAGTAACCGAGTGGGCGATATATATACACCTCACTTGGCCATTCTTATAGGTCTCTTCACACTTGGCAAG